CTATTGCTTCACTGAGTGGGTACTCTGTTCTGATGCACAGGACACAACATAATAGGAAGAGTGCATCAATCTTTAATGTGACATTTAACACAGACACACAAACTGACAAATAAGCTGGAACTAAAAGGATCTTACTTGAGTTTATAACATCTGGTCTGCATCAGCATGGACACAAATCTGACTCATTCTTCACCGTTTATTGGCTTCAACCTCCAAGTGCTGCTTGCTCTCTACTGTGTCGGTAACTCTACTTAATAAGATTTCAGCAATTTTAAAAAATGCATTTCGGCTCATCACTCTGCTTTCGTTCCTTATTGCTTACAGTTACTGAAGCAGATGGTGCGTGCACTGTTAGCCTTTCTGTGTCTTTTCAGCCCTCATAGTTAAGCATACCTTTTTCTACAGATCAAATGCCCTTATTTCCCAGACTGCAATAGTATCACTGGATGAGTTTACCTTCTAACTTTGCAACAGCAAATTAAACAAAGTTGAGACACTGTGGGTCATTCCCACTGGCTGCTCTGAGCAATGTGTTGCTGCAAGCCTTGTCAGCTTGGCATCATAATCAAAATAGTTAAGTATGGATACTTGTTTCTGAAAAGAGGTACTTTCCTGCCATGTATGTGTTTGCAAAACATGTTATGATATAATTTAATGTGTCATTTTAATTTTTTGTGCTTTATACAGAGGGATCCTGACAACACAGATTTTGTGGATGCATCATTTTCTTGCACATTGGTCAAGAATATACATTGACTTTGTTTTTGTGTGCACAGTGTTCAACCAACAGTAAAGCTGCTGTTACACCTTGTGCATTTTTTTCTGTCTGCTGGCTTATTACTGTAATACCTTATTTTAGACTAATTATAAAGAAGTGGATGAGATTTAGGGAAAAGCAGAGCCCTGGAATGTCTGTGCTTTTGATCACATCTTGTTCTGATTGGCTTGAATGTAAAGTGGGATCAAGTGCGTGGAATCCAGTGTATTCATCAAGATTAGGTACATTATGTGTGCTAAGACTTTACTTATCCGATTTACATTTGATATTAATTGATTAACTGACCAATTAAGAATGAGATTGCTCTAGGAGTCCCCCCTAAGTTGCTAGTTCTTAGTGGAATTGATCAGAATGAGTAAGCAGTCACTTTCACTTCCAACTGTCCTACTTCCAGACATAAATGGATCTTTTTATAGAGCAGACAACATTGTCCAGCATTAGACTAGGTTCTGTTATTACTTGGTCTCTGCTTGGACATGTTAGTTAAATTTGCATCAGTTGTGCTGTACTGCCACACATGTGTTGCACATACTGTATTAGAGCAGAGGTGCTCTTAATGTGGAATATTTCAACCTGTTTAAATACCAATGTTAATGCAGCTCATCTGGTGATCAAACTTAGAATGCTACAGTTTAAATGCATAATAAATTATAGCTACTGCATATTGTTTCCTCTTACATCAAGGCAAAACAAAAAAATAAAAAATTCCATTTAGTTTTTTTATACTCGCACTTCGAGATTTTGAAGAATAAAATAAAATATTAAATCTACATCCATAAAATTGTACATAGTATAATAGTGACAAGCATTCAGAAAGCACTTAATGCAGTTTTGTTTGTAAGTATAAACACTCAATAAACTATTAAGTTATTGCCTACATAGCATCTATTTAATGGTGCAGTGGGTTTCTCTGATTTGGTTGGAAGGCAAGGATGTGAGAATATGTAAAACGAGGAGGGAATTTGCTCAAAACATTTGTAACAAGAAAAAAAAAACTAGCTGGCAACAAGTTCAGTAAACTGGAATACTTTAATGAGTTCATGCACATCAGAGAACCAAGTTTTAACATTCCTCTGAGAGCAACCAGAACCACCTGCTTAAAAGTGCTGCTAACAGGTCAAATTCTGTCTCATGACTGACTGACGGATTTTACACTAAAAACAGAGAGCTACATCCCAGCTACTGCCCATTAAAATGAAGTGGTAAATAGTCATACAGCACGTCAGAGTGACATACCCTGTATTTCAGTTATAGTTTATATGTCTCTACATTGTTAATCATGTATTTCACATAGTTTATTCCTGTTTTTTAATTCAGTCACCCAATATAATGTGCTTATTCTGTGTATGAAAAAAATATTTTTTTTCAGTCAGTAATTACAACTGGCCAGATCCTCTTGATACATAAGAAAACTCAGGTTTATAAGAAAAGGGCGGCTTATCAATTAATCATTAGTAGATCCTTAAGATCAATAAACTTTAGATAAATTTATTTATCAATAACTTGCATCCCTTGTTTTAATCCATCAACACATAATAATTACCAGATAATAAGATAATTAATATAAATTTCTAACTTCTGCACACACATAATGTTATGTCCTCGTGAAAAACAGATTCAGTAATTTAGCTGTGTGTTACAGCCTGGATATAAAAGCTGAAATGCTCTGCCACACATCAATCTCAACTTTCTACACTTCAGCATAACTGAAACATTTCACATGCTTTCCTTTTTAACAAAAAGAGCACAATAAGGCTGTGACTGAGCACCAGGGGTAGAATTATTTCAATTTTTTTTACAAAGCAAGTAATCAAAATTTACTTCTAGCCATCAATGATTGACTTAACTACGCCTTTTCTCCTTCGATTTCTATGCTAGTTGGAAAATTAAACATTCCTGTTTGGTTTGTGATTGTAACACAGCAAATGGATTTCTTGGTCTGAAGATTGAAAAATTCTTTTCTAAACTTTCAAGCAGAAAAAAAAGAGTTTGTTCCATCCATCCATCCATCCGTCCATCCATCCATCCATCCATCCATCCATCCATCCATCCATCCATCCATGAGGTACACCCTTGACAGGTCGCCAGTCTGTTGCTGGGCAACACTCTTAAGGACAATTTAGAGATGACAATTAACCTAACAGCCATGTTTTTGGACTGTGGGTGGACTCCGGAGTACCTGCAGAGAACCCACAGGGTTCTCACTGGGAGAACATACAAACTTCATGCAGAAATACCCCAGGCCGGGAATCGAACCCGAGACATTCTTGCTACAAGGCAACAGTGCTATAAACCGCGGCATTGTCCCTTAATGGGTTCATTTTTGAAAACACAGTAAAATAGATTTCTTGGTCTGAAGATTAAAACATTTTCCCAAACTTTCAAGCAGAAGAAACCAAAATCCATTCCTTAAAAAAGAAAAAAAAAAACAATAAATAAAACAGCTAAGCACAAATTTTACTTTTGATGGGTTTGATTCATTCATAGTTAGATACGGCACAGGTGTGAGTTGTGCGATATTACAGTAAGATTTGGTGTCATGCAAACCTCTCTAAACCCATCATTTGTTCGTAATGATGGCATCTTCTCTAACTTACTGTTCTATCTCTGAATCCCTGAAAACACCACTACTCCGCTTATGATGCCACTAGAATCTAGGTTTTTATGTAAAGGTTTTTAGTTTGCATTTGGAACAGATTATGTTCTGATTGATTACCCCACAAAAACAAATTCAAATGAAACCAACGACTTTTCAATTCTATGGACCCCAGTCTCCAGTTCTTATGTATCCATTATCACATAAAACCAAATGTGTTGATGATATACAGCAAAATATTCTACACAAGGAACAAGATAAAAGAATGGACTGTTTAAGTCTGACTGAAGAACATGAACTGTGATCGATTTGCTAATCTGAGGTATGCAGATAGTCCAGACCCAAATAAAAACAGGTGCTGAAAGAAAAAAGGATGTGGCCCAATAAAGATGGCCTTCGTTCTAGTCACTTTGGCTGGTCTGTTTTGACCTTTAATGTTCCGCTTTTGAAAGTCTTATTTTTGATCAAAACAAATTGTTCACAAACAGGCCTTTTCCTATCTGAGCATCCAAACAGATGCGGATAAATCAGGACCAGGGGCCATGATTGATCATGTGCTGCTAAAGCTGCAGGGTGATAATATTTAAAAGAAAAACAATGAACTGCAGTGTGTCTTTGCTTGTGTTTCAATGTGTGGGTTGTGTTGTTAGGTGGCAACAAATGAGTCACATATTGATCTGGAATGATACAATCTGAAGGAAAATACCAAAGGCATACAGTACATATATATCTAGTCCTAGCTTGGTAAGAATGTAAATCTATGTGTTTATGAAGTTAGTGACAAATCAAAGTCATATCTACATGGTGTAATTTATAAGCATTACAGTTATTATTATTGTGTACAAGCTCTGCTTTCTCCAAGTAAGGCGCCACTAAATCTAAGCTGACTACAAATGCAGCAGGTACTTAAAACTGGGGTCCAACGCAGAGGCCCACCCTGACCCACAGTGGCTGAGGGGTACAAACATGCTGCAAATACATAAATGAACAGAACACAAAAAGGACTGCAAACACAAAAGAGTTGTTTGTTTTCACATTTGTTTGTTAATCTAAACCTTTCCCAACAATACAGTATATTGCAGGACATGTGTTACTGCATATTTGTGTATCTAAAGTGCATTTAAAGGATAAAATATCCTCAGTTAAGTTCACTGCCACAGAGTTATTTAATCCCACCATATGTTTTTTTTTGTCCCTTTTTTGCTCCAACTACTTTATCCCACTGTTTGTTTTGATACCCTGGGTACAGACTCAGGTAACCAGTAGGAATCCTATTTATTTATTTTACACCTGGAAATGTAATTTATATGAATTTACCTTCATTGTTTGTTAGTTTGTTACAGAATAGAACTGCTGGTTAAATTCAACCATCTAAACCGTAACAGTGATGTTACTGTATTTAGTTGAGCGTTTGAAGCAGTTCAGTTACAGTAAAAAAATTTACATCCCTCTGTTCCTAAAAAAACAAACAAAAAAAAGGCTCTAAGAAAGGGAAACATAGAAAAAAACTAAAATAAGGCAGGAACCTAAACAACCTTGCATAAATGCCTAAGCATACCTAAGCCTCCAATGCCCGATTTCTAGAACTTAACAAAAAGAGACATAAAAACCAAAACATGGACGTACTACTGGGCCGAGTCGTTGAGCTGGTACTCTCGGGCACGGCTGAAGCACTCCTGGATGCCCGAGTCAGCCCACAGACGCATCATGGCACCCAGCAGCTCGGCGGAGTACGGCTCTGTGTCCTCCATGCGACTGACCACGTCACACACCATCTTGGCATCTGCCTGTGAGACGAACAGAGAAGGGAAAGAAGAGGTTAGCGTTCCATAACCTAGCGGCAAACGAATCCTCAGGCAAAAACAGCGCACAGCAGGAAGTTCACCTGTTCACCTAGACTAACAATAACTTATAATGTGTTAAAAATAGCAGAGAACAAGGACAAAGGTCAAACTGCAATAAATGACACAAGCCCTGAAAACAGAGGAGAAACTAAACACATGCAAATATAGAACAAAAACACCCAACAGAGCTGCTCTTAGAGAGGAGTCTCATTAAATCTATTTTCATCACACTTCAATTTGGGCAAACCTTCAAAAGAAGAAACCCCGGACATTCAGACTGAAGTGGCTTTTAAAAGCTGCACATACAGAAGACCGAGAGAGCTGGAAATAGATTAACCGTTCTGGCATCCCGACTGAGGTTTGTTTTTAGGCTGTTGTCATGCAGCTGTGATCTGGTCATGGTTCCCTTCAGGGTCAGAGGCTGCTGATCAGCTCCAAGCTCCTTCCAGAAAAAGGTGCTGTGCTCTGCAGCAGCTCTAACCGAGTCACAGCCTCATAAACAGCTCATATGATCACAGGCACTCGTCAAGTGAGTGTTAATCTGCTACCCTTATAGAGTTACAGATGTTTATGTCTTCATATATAAGATTTAAAAAAAGCAAAGCATCACATAGAGGGGAGATGTTGGAAGATTTTGTTGTCTAAAAAAAGAAATTCTCCTAAAATTTTTGTCTAGCTTTTGGGTTGATTAGCATAAAAAGTTTGACTTCTAAGATTTTTTTCATTGATTAATGCACAATTAGCAGCACAGTAAAACACACAAACCTAGAATTTATTTGTAATCCTTAGAAGCACACGTTTTCTTTAAAAGTTTATCTAGGAAAGACCTTGTTTAGGAATCTTGTAGGGAGGCTAAAATCCAGTTTTCCCTAAGAATTGGCCAATTCTCCATCGCATCTGATTGTTCCATCTATATCTGATTGCCATAAACAGTGTGTGTGACAGAATCCTGACCCAGACTGAGAGCTTCTTACGTCAGCAAACATCATCATTTGATAATTTGTGATGTCAATGATCAGAAATAACAAGAGGGTCAGACCTGCAATTAAATTAAATTCAATTCAGTTTATTTATACAGCGCCAATTCATAACACATGTCATCTCAAGGCACTTTATAGTTCACCAGATCAGTCAAACTGATTCAAAGTTTTCTATCTAAGGAAAACCAGTTGATTGCATTGACTCATTGACTCTTTAGCAATCCCTCACACTACACATACTTGTAGCGACAGTGAAGAGGAAAAACTCCCTTTTAACAGGAAGCAAAACTGGCTGGTTACCTTTAACCCTTTATAGGGCACTCATTGAAAAACTTTGAAATGTTAAATTTCCATCTCAGGGTGTCATTGTGGTATATATCAATAATAATAATCTGTAATTACATTATTAAAAAAATTTCATTTTCATGCTGAAAATCACAGGAAACGAAGTGATCATATATGGTAACTTGCCCCGTTCTGGTAAAAAAAAATCTAAAAAGAACACAAGATAGAATTTGTTGAAAAAACATGAAATAGTTTAATAAACATTTGTTTAGACCATTTAATAACATTATGAAACCACTTTAACAAGATAATACTTCATAGAAAACATCTAAAATCATGACAGAATATTTTAAATATAGAGTATAATGTAACATTTCATAACAATACAATATAATAATAGGAAAATAGAACAATGGATGGATGTTGCAGTGCCTTACTGCTTTCTCATCATAAATAGAACTTTATCATTTTGCAGTATTTTAGAACCTTCAGTGTCTTAGTGCTTTTTCAACATAAATAAAACTTTAAAATTTTACAGTATTTTAGAACATTCAGTGGCTTAGTGCCTTTTCAACATAAATAAAACTTTATTATTTCACAGTATTTTAGAACATTCAGTGGCTTAGTGCCTTTTCAACATAGATAAAACTTTATTATTTCACAGTATTTTAGAACATTCAGTGTCTTAGTGCCTTCTCAACATAAATAGAACTTTGATTATTTCACAGCATTTTAGAACATAAATTTATGTTGAGAAGGCAGTAAGGCACTGAATGTTCCAAAATACTGTGAAATAAAGTTCTTTCACAGTATTTTAGAACGTTCAGTGCCTTACTGCCTTCTAAATATCTATTGACTATCTTTATTTAGGGTTGTGGTACTCAGCAAAGCAGTTGCGTGTTGCATTTAGGCAGAGATGGACCTTGCAAACCCCGCAGAAAACATTGGACCTTGCAATGTTGTCTTTCCTGCTGCAGTACTTGCATGTTTGGCGATGAGTGTAGACAGGAACGTGGAACACGGAGTGGTCGAAACGCACAGCCTCAGTGGGGTTGGAGCCGCGATGTCCTCGGACTGGCTTGGGAACATCAAAGGCAGCTCTCAGACTGTCAGAGCTTCTTCCTGAGCGAACTACAGACAGCCTTTGGTTAGAGGCATGCTTGAACACCTCGATCCGGAAGCTTTTCAGAGACTGGCTGTCCAGTTTCAGTTCCTTGCAGTCCCGCCTGTACATCAGCCAGGCATTTGAGATGGCCAGATCAATAGTGTATGCAAACAGACGCATATACCACCTCTTGGACTTCATGGGGGTGCGGTACAGGTGCACCAACATGTCGCTCTTGTCAATCCCCCCCATGTTGGAATTGTAGCTTTTGATGACTGCAGGACAGCTCACAGGTTCCTTCTTTTTGGATTCACTGGAGAACCTAAAACACGATTTTGTTTTATTGATCACCATTAGTGAAATTTGGTGTTGTAATAGCTCCATAAAAAGTGTAAAAATATAAATGAATGGAGGAAAATAAATGGCTAAGTAAAAAAAAAAATATAAAGGCAGCACTGACATCTACAGGAACAACACAATCAGACAAAACTAAAATAAACAATACCTGTAGACAGATGACAGAGGTTCCACTCCCATGTCTGTCGAAAGCAGAGTGACAACTTTATTGTCCTTCCACCTGAGGACCAGGATCCCATCATCACTGACAACGGAGTGACAGGTCCCACGAGGGACACCTTTTTTCTCCATCTCTGTGATGGACTTTAGGGGAGGATGTCCAATTCTGTTGTCCCTTGCAGTTCCTGTGTATCTGAACACATAAATATGGAATGGATGAATAATGGATCCAATGTAAGTGGGTTACATATCCAGCAGTAAAGTGCAACATAAATGTAATCATTCATTCACTCACTCACAGAAAGTAATTGTTACCTGCAGTTCTGAGTTTTGAGGTACCGGACTAGCTCCAAGCTGGTGAAAAAGTTGTCAGCGAAGATGGCTGTTGTGGTGGAGGATGACATGGTACTGGCCAGGACAGAGACAATCTGGCTGGTGGCGCCCAAGGCTCTTTGTTCAGGTGTCAGGGGGACACCATGGGCCTCCAGCGTAGTCTTGCCCTGGTATAGGACCATGTCATGGATAAATCCATCCTCGGAGGCCCTGGCAAACAACTTAAACCCCCACTTGTCAGGCTTGTTTTTAATATACTGCCTCAAGTTCCCAGCTGTCTTCCCTTTGAAGGCAACCATCACCTCATCCACTGACTGCTTCGGGGTCTGCTCCTCACTTCTGAAGGCACTGCAGAGGAAGGTGAACAATGGCCGGACCTTGAAGAAGCGGTCAGTGGTGCCAGGGATAAGGGTGTTGTCATTGAAGTGGATCATCCTTCTGAGCAGCCTGAACCTCTTTGATGACATGATGTTGGCAATCTGAGGAACCCTGGTGTCCATGGCCCAATAGTCATCTATAGATGGCAGTTCTACCATGCCCATGTAGATGAGAATTCCTACAAATTTCATCATCTCATCCTCATTGGTGGTGAAGGTGGTGTTAATGTCCTTTTGACTGGCGTACAGGTTGGTGTGATAAGTTATGTGGCTAATGAATTGTGGGGTAAAGTATCTTAAAAAGTACACAAAAGGTTTCCCAATAAAGTTGGGAGCAGAGTGCTGGTACTCAGGCAGAGGTGAATTTCTTAATTTGGTTTTCCTCCAGGTGGTGGGTCTGGGTTTGGGTTTAGTGGGACCCTTAGCTTGCGGTATAACCTGCTCATCTTGATCTTCATTTTCATCCTCATCTTCCCCATCCTGAAGCACCTCCACTGCAGGCTGCACATGTCTCCTCTTGGCAGGAGGACTCATCTCACTTGTGGTGGGAGTGTCCAGGTTGTGGCTGACTGGAATGTAATCAGGATCGACCTCCACATCATCTTCCTCATCCTCTTCGTCATCGCTGATGGCAGGGTTGGCTGGAACAATCACAACCGCCTTCCTCTTTCCATAAAACATGTTTGTTGAAATCTGCAACAGAAAAATATTATAATTATTGTATATTTTTATTACTGCTACTGTCATTATGTGGATAATAATATGCCATATACTTGAAAAGCACTAAAACTAGTCATAATATCACTTATTCAATATAAACAATTAATAATATAAATAATAATACTATTAAGACATAAAATAACAGTTAAGTGATACAAAATATAATACAAAAACATCCAAAATCACTTATTTTCACCATTTTTAGCTATATAATCTTTAGAAGTGAGATATATATGTGAATAAATCATTATAAAAGCTTCTAAAAGCATCAGATAAGATTCTAATGTATTATTTGTTGGTTATAATGCGTGTTTGGTAAACAGAAACTCAAAAATGTGGCTTAGAAACAAAGAACATATGAGTTAAAGTAGGCGAAACTGATGCAGGTCTGTTTTTACTTGTTTTGGGCATATGCACATATATGTGCTCCCTGTTTTTCATGCTATGATTTCGCCAATTTCCAAAAGTCTCACGAAAAAAACATGTCTGTCATCATTTAGTACAACTTCTCAACCGTGTAATGTGAAAGTTTAATAAACTTACCATGGTTAGTTTTGGAGAGCCGAGTGAAAACGCTAGAGAAATCAAGCCGCGAAGTGGCGATTTCCTGCTCCCGGGAAAACACTG